TTCACTGAAGTTGAAGGCCAATTCCTTTTTGCCACTTCCATGGATACTAGTAATGTTGATGAGATAGCAGAATTCCTGGAACGCTCTATCAAAGGTATTGTGTGGCTGATACATGTGTTTCTTTTAGTATTATTCTTATAAAACTCAACCTTCTGTTGAGCATCAAATGAAAGCCAATATTGCAGAGTCTTAACATTTAGAAGAATGATGTTTACCATCTTAACTTTGTACCTCTATGGATTTGTTTATTTATTTTTGATTTATTGCCCATCTCTTTCAGAGATGGCTAAGCTAGGGTGGTCTGAAAATTCCTCCATTGGGTGTGGGGGGAGACTGTAATGAAATAATTGTCAAGATCCTTCCAAACCTACGATACTGTGAGAATAAAAAAGTGAATCATTTATTTCAACCCTAAACTTTTTAGAATAGTAAAACTGGATAATAACATGCTATAGAAGATAATAAAATGTTTTGCCTTCCTCAGACTCATGTGAAGGGTTAATGGTGAAAACACTGGAAGTGGATGCCACATATGAAATTGCAAAGAGGTCACACAATTGGCTGAAGGTAAGAACTGAATGTTTACTTGGCTCTAAATTATGTGATACAATTGCTTAACTGTGCTGACTTGTGGCAGGATTGGAGTTTGTGACCCCTTCCCCAAATTGTCCATGTTCTTGTTCAAGGATGGGTGGGTATTTTATTTGCCATTTTACTTGTTTCTTAGTTTGAATAAAAGAGCCTAGAATGGTCAGGAATAAGAAATGCAAATAATAAAAGTTTTATTCCAAAGTATTCTCTCCTACTTAACATTTGCCTTCCAGTACTAGAAAAACCTGTCTAGATATTGGTTCAGTCTCTATACAGAAGCTGACTTACTCCATTAATACCTGTTTCCCATACCAGCTTAAAAAAGATTATCTGGAAGGTGTTGGTGATACCCTTGACCTGGTGGTGATTGGTGCCTACTTGGGCAAGGGCAAACGGGCAGGCACGTATGGAGGTTTCCTTCTAGCATGTTATGATGAGGAAAGTGAAGAATTCCAAAGCATCTGCAAAGTAAGAATTTTAGACTACACTCTTAGAACATTTTGATTATTGATTTAAGGTTATAAATTTTGGTATTGAATAGCATCAGGTGCCCTGACCTTAACTGTGGTGGAGGGAAGAGGATTGTGCATACCTTTGAGTCAGTCTTGACTCCTGGCGACCACACAGACAAGTCTTTGCAGTTTTCTTGGCAACATTTAGTGCTCAGTCACTGGAGATTTTCAGGAAAAAAATTGAATAGCCATTTGTCTAGGGTGGTCTGAAAATTCCTCCATTGGGTGTGGGGGGAGACTGTAATGAAATAATTGTCAAGATCCTTCCAAACCTACAATACTGTGTTTTTGAAAAGTGATTTGCTGTTGCCTTTTTCCTAGGGCTGAGCAAGAGTGTCAAAATTACTCAGCTTGTTTTGTGGCTAAGGCAGAATTAGAATGCATGGTGTCATAGTAACCACTAGACCAAAATGGCCCTGCACATTCTAATTAGAATCTATAAAATGAGATTGCTGTAATGATAGTTTATCTTACTGGGATAAAGAAGGGGAAAACTACCAGTACTACAAAGGAAATACACAGTAAATAATAACTGAAGTATAAAATTGGTAGCTTTTACATTTTCCATACCATGTTTCCTTGTCCCGTAAGACAAGTGATAGACATTTAGTTATTTGTATCTAAGTGTCACTTGCCCTTTATCCCTTCCCAGATTGGCACTGGATTCTCGGATGAGGACTTAGAGAAACTTCATAGCTCACTCAAGGTAGGACTGCAAAACAAAAAGCTCAATACTGAGTTTGAAATAGCCCATTTTGAACTGGAAATGGCCTATCATACAAGATGTTCAGAGGATTTGGGCTGTATTTCAAGTTCTGTGCCAAAAAGTACACTTTATATGTGAGGTAGAATGTTTCAAGAGGGTCACATATTCTTAGTACTCACCATAGTCTCTGTCTTACAGGACTATGTGATTCCACAGCCACGACCATACTATCGTTGGGGTGGAACAGCTGAACCTGATCACTGGTTGGAAGCCCAGCATGTTTGGGAAGTGAAGTGTGCTGATTTATCCATTTCTCCCATCCACAGGGCAGCATCAGGTTTGGTGAGTGATGGGTAACATTGGAAGGCATCTATGTATAGTATGTATAGCAAGGATTTAACGTAATTTGTACTTATTGCAAATACTGTATAAACTGTTAATTGGCTATCATTACTCAGGAAATATTTTGAAATCACAGTTCTCTGGCAGTTTTCGTTCAGTATTCTGTAGCAATTTCAACACATTTTCAGCGTTTTGTTAGGAAAATTTCTAAGGCTACAACTTCAGCTGTTGAAATGACATTTTAAAATTAGAAATGTCTGTTACCATTATAATTTGTATAGGCCCTAATTACTGGAACAATTTATTTTACTTTTATATATAAGGTACAAACGTTTAACTTATAATGCACATATTTAAATATAAGCAACAACTGTTCAGTAATCTATACTGGAAAGAAATGCAGGAGAACTGTATTGTGGATGATCTAGCTGTAATCTCAAAGTTTAAATTTTATTTGATGGTTTGAATGTGTAAAATTACCATAATTATGTATGTTTTTGATATTCAATGTGAAATACTACATTTCCAAATCCTGTATCAGCAACAAGAATGACTGGGTAGAAGAAATATAAAACACTAAATAACGGTTTACAATGGGAATTGAGATTGGGCACTAAGTGGTACAGTCATAAACATGACATGTGACCATGTCACTTAGCAATGTCCATTCCAGCACTTCCTGGTTGCTATCACTAAGCAAATCCTCCCCCCCATTAAGCAAAGATATATATTTGCAACCTCCTGCCAGCTTCCCTATTAATTTTGCTTGTAGGAAGCCAGTAAAGGCCACAAATGATGATCATGAGACTGTAGCACAGTCATAATTGCAAGTCGGCATCAAGCATGCAAGTTGGGATCACATGACTGAAGATGCTGCAATGGCCAGAACTTCAATGACAAGTCATAAGTGCTGCTTGTTCAGCTCTATCAAACTTTGGTCACTGAATGAATGATCATAAATCAAGGACCACCTGTAAAGGGGAAATCATTTTAGAATTAGGCTCTTAACCTAATGTAACATGTTCAAGGATTTGATAAGATCTGGTGGATTTTAAGCCCTTCGCACAACTCATAAACTCAGAGCCTTTCTAAGAGAGTTCAGATCTCATTGTTTCAGAAACTAGTGAAGAGTCATTTTGGTAGTGCTGTTTTTTCTCCTCTAACAAATCATATAGTAGGACTATGCATGCCTTGAAAATGATTTATGAGAGTTTCTGATCTCATATAAGCATCTCACCTCTGCTGTTACACATGCCAAATTATGTAAATTTACAAGCTATGTATTACATTATAATATTTCAGTCTTGTCATAGATCAGACATGTCAAACTCGCGACGTCATATGACATTGTGCAACGTATCGGGACGGTTTTGCCATTGCCAGCAATGGGGTGGGCGTGGCTCCCAGATGATGTGTCCGGCCCACGGGCTGGAAGTTTGATACCCCTGCCATAGATAAATACGTTTTTGCAAAGTTGAAACAATAAATATTATCTACTATAGCCAATGCCTTAACATAAATTTTTATATTTGAATATGGTTACTTCAGTATATAATGCGTGTGTGTGTGTGTGTGTGTGTGTGTGTGTAGAGAGAGACAGAGACAGAGACAGACCAAAGTTGCACCCAGAGGTTATAGCCTTGTGGATGGATTAAATAGTAATTGGATTGTTAAAGATCTAGTTATCTTTGCTAGCAAAAGAAATTACAGGAAAGGGACATAGCAATTAACCATTTCTCTTCATTGCCCAAAAAACACTGTTTCAAAGGAGGCTTTAAGAAAATAGCCTTTATGAAACTTCAATGATAATTTATTATTCCATGCAGGTGGATGAAGAAAAGGGCATCTCCTTACGTTTTCCCAGATTCCTGCGCATCCGAGAGGATAAGAAACCAGAGGAAGCCACTAACAGTGCTCAGGTAAAGATGGCAAGATATCTGTATATAAATTATATATAAATGAATCAGCCAAGAATTGTTTTCAGTATATGCAAAGTTGGATTCATATCCTTTTGTATTATTACCTGTAATCATGAGAAGACAGACTAAGTAATTTTTGAAGTTTAGGGCTATTTTTTTTTTTAATAAAGTGTTTTGCTGAAAGTGCTAAAAGAGGCAAATGTGGGCATGGACAATATTTCCATCTTTTTGGATTGAGCTTCAGATTACTCACATTGTTCAATTCTCTAAATGAAAAAATTGGCCTGGTATGGGGTGAGGTTCATGGTAAAATATAAGTTTTATATATACTAACATGACCCAGACTCAAGAAAGGGTCATTTCAGGATACTCTCATAGCTACAAAGAAGTGTGTGTGTGTGAGAAAGAGAGGGGGGAGGGAGGGAGAGGGAGGGAGAGAGAGAGAGAGAGAGAGAGAGAGAGAGAGAGAGAGAGAGAGAGAGAGAGAGAGAGAGAGACACGGAGGGGCAGGTAAGCAAATTACAAATTTAGGACAAGAGACCACCCTACAATTTTTATGTACAAATACTCAGCCACCTTTCTCTTAATACAGGTGGCTGAACTTTATCGGAAACAGCAGCAGATCCAAAATCAACCACCACTGGAAAAAGATGATTTCTACTAATAAAGTTTTTCTAATTGAAGTTTTTTGGCATGAGGTCATAGTACTGAACATAACTGATGTGTATTAAGTTTGGGATAGAGAGTAAAATGGCAACTTTGGTTACAGCTTTTTGTTTCTGAGAGTTGTTTCCCAGCTGAATGAAATTTCTTTGATCAGGTATGAAAGTTAAGTTGGTGATAGTATATAAATAAACCTTGATATTTTAAAATTCCTGTTTATGTGGTTTGAAACATCTTCCTGGGACATCTATAAGTCTGACTCAGATCAAGTGTTTAAAATAAGTGTTTATTAGTGCATAGTTAGGTACAGGTAGCTTAAATTCTATAAAGTGTACATAAAAAAAGCTATTACACAGCTTCAGGACTGTTGTCTAGGTTGGGGGGGGGAACACCATTCCAATACACCTTTCCCTGATAATCCCAGTAGTGGCCACAAACTGGCTAATCTTAGCTCATTCCTACAATTTCTTTCAAACTAGATTCACTCTCTCCTTCCTACATCATTCCTTTTCTCTACAGCTCTGCATCTGTCTTGCATTACACGCTATCTCCTACCCCAAAGGGTAATGCAGGCTACTAAGTGCCAACATTTCCCAAACATAATTTCTAACATGCTTGTTCTGTTCTATATACGCTGTTCCATCGCCCTCCCCCACATGAACTTTTCCTTTCATGAGGGTAGAGGGAGAATTCCTTGCCTCTAGGGGGTGGTACGCAAGCGCTGACTGCGTGCCTTGTATACTTCAATGAGCAGGTCCTTGACGTACTGGATCTCTCTCTCAATAGATTCTGCTTTCTCTCGCAGATCGCGATTGCGTGCCTCCAAGGCCTGGCACTCATCCCCCAATGCTTCGTGTTCAGCTCGTTTACGCTGACGGTATCGCAGGGCTGCTGTCTTGTTCTGATCTCTCTTCTTCTGGCGTCGATCCCCTTTAGGCGTTAGCACAAGTGACTGCTGAACTGAGGCACATAATTCATTGCCCTGCAGGGGGAGCTCAGCAGGCGTTTCCCCACCATAGAGCTCCAACAATTCTAAGCAACTTGAATCCAAGGTTTGCAAGGGTGCAGGTGTACTGTGGTGGTGGTCCAGTGAATGGAAGCCATCACCAAAAGGAAAGTGAAAATTCCCATCAGAGGGAGGGGTGCTGGGTGCTACCTGATCAGGTGAGAGAGTTTCCTCCAAGAAATAATCCTCCATCTGCTCCAACTCTTTTTTGAGCAGTGAGGCCATGGCCTCCAGGTCCGGAGCAGGAGGAGAGGGCAGTGAGAGTGGCGAGGACTCCCCTGACACACTCAGGAGCGTGGCCAGGTCTGTGCGTTCCGTCATCCAGTCTGAGAAGCCATCGCCTGGGGAGTAGCAAAGCAAAATCAGACAAAATCACAACTTAAACAAACAAGAAAGTAAACTTAATGTTCATGTGCATTTTCAGAAATGTACCAGAACAGAGCTTGTTACAGCGTGTATGGAATATTTCAGAGAAATGTGTTATCTGAATTAATATAGGAACAACAAAATTATAATATGGGGTAAACAGAAGCCAAAGTGTTGGTGATGAGGAAAGAAGCTAAGGGAAGGAATATTGAAAAACTATTAAAAGCCCTATTTTTTTCCTTGCTTAACTATCAAATTTGGCCTGTAAAAATTTATACATTCTCTAGATAAGAGCAAAAAAATTCAAGATGCTAACTCTTTCCTGCCATCTCCTAATCATCTGAATGTGTATCCTTACCCTTGGTTCCAGATTGAAAAAAAGATATCAATTGGCCATGTAGATTGGGCCTCAGATAACTAAATGGATTCATCTTTAAGTCTTTGCTATCATCCCAACACTATGAGGGCCCTTTCAGAATGTTAGCACTCAACTATATTAAAGTAGCCTAGCAAACTAGTATTGATCTTATGTTCCTAAAGAGAATATTCCTTGCCTTTTATACATGTCGATTTTCTCAGATTCTAGGATTTATTCTATTCTCAAACTGGTTACCTGTTAGCACTGGGCGCTCCATGCCGAGGGCAAAGCCCTGATCCACAGGTCCAGGTAGCAGCTCACTGTGACCGGCATGGGGCAGCCGGTGCTTGAGCAGCTCCGGCCTGCAGGACATGGTGCTAGCTGGGATCATGGTCAGGTCCAGGTCCAGGGTCAGTGCTGCCAGCAGAGACATTGTATTGGTGATCACTCAGATTCAGTGCAGGATTTGTACGTAGCAGGCAAGACGTGCCTCTGCTCCTGCAGACAAGGATAGTGGTGGTGGTGGTGGTGGTGGCAAAAGAGGACCTGGAAAGCGATAGAAATATTTTCTCAATGAAATCACTAGTCAAGATTTATTTTTATTTGTAGAACAGATAAGACAGAATTTGTTTTACCTGTAGCAAAAATCTTAGCACTTTGTTCTGTGGTACAATCAACTTGTGTGAAAAGATTTGTAGAACAGGCCTCTGTTGGCAGGCCAGTTATAGATACATAACTAGGATGAGAGAATACGCTCTACAGGTAGTCCTTGATTTATGACTACAATTAGGCCCAAACTTTCTGTTGCAAGGCAGTTGTCAAGAGAGTCACACCCCATGTTATGATTTTTTTACCACAGTTAAGTGAAACAGTGCAGCTGAGTGAATCACGTGGTCATTTAGCAAATCTGGCTTTCCCCATTGACTTCTGTTGTCAGAGGTCATAGATGGCAATCCCATGACCCCCGGACCCTTCAACCATCATAAATACATGCCAGTTGCAGGAAGTTTGATCATGACCATGGGGATGCTGCAGCAATGATAAGTGTGAGAATCAGTCATAAGTAACTTTTTTCAGTGTCACTGTAACTTTGAACGATCACTAAATGAATAGTTGTAAGTCAAGGACTACATGTAATAGGTATCTAATTACAATTAGGCCCAGCAAAATGTTAGCCAAATTAAAGGCATAGCATGCAACAGGGACAATGAGCTTTGCTCCCTGCATCATTACTGCAAGCACCATACTTCTAACAATTGGAACCCTCCCATGTGTTGGACTGCAACTTCCATAATCCTCAGCCAGCATAAGTTTTATGGAAGTTTGGTCCAAGACCTGAAGATTCTAGTGCGTACTGGCAGGTGTAGACACGCATGTTTGCGGTGACAGCGCTGCGGTCACACAAAGGCTCCGCTCGCGGCCCGGCTTTTCTCAGTGGGGTTACGCAAGCCGCATCTGCTTCCTTCCCTAGAGAGCAGAATGTCTTACTGTACTCCCCGATGGAAAAAGGGGCGGGCAGACAAACAGGTTTTAGCATGCTAGGAAACGGAGGGGGAGTAGAGAGGAGAGGAAACATAGCATTGCTACTCTTCTCTGTAGAGAGATCTGGAAAATCTAAGCATCCTGAACGTGTCGCCTCCGCTTCGTTACTTTTCCTTCGGTTATCCCCATTTCCCCCGCCCCCGGGTTGCAACAGTCTTTCCGCCATCGTAAGTGACTCCCACCCCTTTTCCGAGAGTGGGCCGGGAGAAGGTGAATGGGAAGAGACAGCATCCAAACACATTACTTACTCCATCTTGCTTGTTCTGTTGCAGCGTGCAATACACGCTAGTTTTCCTCCGTGATCCACGCGGCCCTAGAAAGCCATGACCTCGATCTCGCGTGCCTCACCGGCGTTCTAAATCTCAAATCCTAAATTTGTGACAGGAGTAGAATGAGTCACGGCGGGGTGGAGCCTCCGTATATATATCCCTCTAGCCTCCAAGCCTCATCGCAGAGGCTTCGCGTATCCTTCCGCCTGCACACTTTCCTGATTGATACTGCTTTCACTAATGCGCATGCTTCGGAGTGGGAGGGGAAAGGAAGCCCTTTTAGTTTGTTTGTTTCTCTTTCAGTGCCGTTAAGGCGGCAATTGGGTTTTTTAAAAAAATGCCGGGAATCAACATTTAGCTGATACTTTCAAGAGTCATGAAAAGTTAGGCTGCCCTTTACTGATACCTTGTGTCTTTGATACGAACTGATTTCCAAACTACTTTCTTATAGAATTCCTAGTATTCTAGAAAGATCGTCCTCTTGTCCACCGCTACCCGAAGCCTGTATAGTATTTATTTGGACAGGACATTCTGTATATTTTAAAATATGAGCAGAGTCAGGCCTGTTAGTGCAGTAAGTCTTATGATTAACTGTAAACTCCTGAGTTTGTTTCCATGGAGAATAAATGAAGCCACCAAAATTATATGAGCCAGCAATGTGTAGCAGCCCCAAAAGAGTTAATACAACACTTAGTTGTATAAACAGAGGCATAGAATCAAAATCGTGTTAAGTATTTGTACCGCTTTATAAAGCCTTAGTAAGGCCACACCTAGAATACTGAATCCAGTTTTGATCGTATTACAAAAAAGATGCTGAGACTTCGGAAAAAGTGCAAAGAGCAACTAAGATGATTGAAGGCCTGACAACTAAAACATAAAGAACAGTTGCAGGATTTGGGTTTGGCTAGTCTAGAGAAAAGGAAAACCAGTGGGGGACATGAAATCAGTATTCCAGTATTTGAGAGGTTGCCACAAAGAGGAGAGGTTAATTTATTTTCCAAAGTACCAGAGGGCAGGACAAGAAATCATGGATAGAAACTAATCAAGGAGCAAAGCAACCTGGAATCAAGGAGAAATTTCCTAACAATGAGGACAATTAAGCAGTGGAACAACTTGCCCTCAAAAGTTGTGGGTACTTCATCACTCGAGGTTTTTAAGAAGAGACTGGACAGTCACTTGTCTGAAATGGTATAGGATATCCTGCTTGAACAGGGGTTTGAACTAGAAGACCTCCAAAGTCCCTTCCAGCTCTGTTTGGATTGGATTGGATTCAGTTTGATTCTTTAATATCAAAGAATTAGAGAAATAGAATGAGATGTCACAAAGTTCTGTTGCTATATGCAACTTTTATTTTGTTAATTATAAAATATAACAAATGATTTTGGATTGTCTTTACTCCCCAACAACCTGAGCATCAAGATTTTATTATTTCCTTTATTATTGTATAGATGTATAAATCAAGTATACAGATATAGTATAGGGGGTACCTTGCTCAATAGTAGTAACTGTGAGAGGGATCTCGGAGTCCTAGTGGACAATCATTTAAATATGAGCCAGCAGTGTGCGGCAGCTGCCAAAAAAAAACCAACACGGTGCTAGGCTGCATAACAGAGGGATAGAATCAAGATCACGTGAAGTATTAATGCCACTTTACAATGCCTTGGTAAGGCCACGCTTGGAATACTGCATCCAGTTTTGGTCATGATGTAAAAAAGATGTTGAGACTCTAGAAAGAGTACAGAGAAGCGCAACAAAGATGATTAGGGGACTGGAGGCTAATTGGGTATGTCTAGTTTAACGAAGAGAAGGATGAGGGGGGACATAGCAGTGTTCCAATATCTCAGGGGCTGCCACAAAGAAGAGGGAGTCAAGCTATTTTCCAAAGCGCCTGAAGGCAGGACAAGAAGCAACGGGTGGAAACTAACCAAAGAGAGAAGCAATCTAGAACTAAGGAGAAACTTCATGACAGTTAGAACAATTAACCAGTGGAACAACCTGTCTCCAGAAGCGGTGAATGCTCTAACACTCAAAGTTTTTAAGAAGAAACTGGACAGTCATTTGACCAAAATGGTATAGGGTTTCCTGCCTGAGCAGGGGGTTGGACTTGATGACCTCCAAGGTCCCTTCCAACTTTATCATTATCATTATTATTATTATGTTACTTCAGATTGGATACTATATGTGTATTATAACCCAGTAATTTACTGGGGGGGAGGGTAACTCAGACTCATGCCACACATGTAGCTTAAAATGACACCTTTCATTTACATTTGTAATGCTTAAATCAGAAAAACAGGAAACTATCACGCTGCAAGTATACTGTTTTCACCCCCACCCCTGCGCTCATATTTCCAGAAATGCTTTTAGGCCTCAGATTATCCTCATAAATATGACAAGCAGCTGTTGTTTAATGCTGGGCGGGGGAGTAGGGAGGCTGGCCTAGAAAAAGAACAAAAATAAGCAAGGATAATAGAAAAGTGTATTCTGCTAAATGTGAGCTTTATAAACAGTCATATATTATAACCAGCCATTTTGTAAATGAGGAATGGTTGCAGCATCAGTTTTGCCAAGCATGTCCTCAGCCTGTTCACAATATTTTTTCTTTTGTAAGGTTTTCCACTTAACATCATAATTGTCCCAGCGTTACTCAGGAATTTAAAAGAGCCAAAGAAACTCCCGAGCCAAGGTTTCAGCAAGGAAACAACTTTTATTTTGATCAAAATAGAGTTTGGGCGACCTCCATCTCTCTTCGTGGCTGGTAGAAAGATGAAGGCAATAACCAGGAAAGATGTCTTCCACCTTTTATATCTTTCCAGAACAAAAAGATCAGGTCTTTGTACCAGGCATAAGATAGCACCAAAAAACAATTCCAAGATGAAGACTCATAACAACAACCCAGGCTCCATCCGTAACTCCCATGCTTTTTTCATGTAAGCAATCACCTGTACCTAAAGCATGAAACATTTGTTTTATATAACTAATTTCCCAATATAAAGCACCTACAAAGCTGCTTGCACATAAACAAAGATGTATACATATAATGATTATAAAGTATCACTACTAATATCAATATTATTAAAATCAAGCTTAAGCATAAGATCCCTTCACTTTGGAATCCCCAAATTTTTACCCTGAGAGAATACCTGAATCCAGCCTCAAAAAAAAAAAAAAAAAAAAGGCGTTTCAGGCCTTAAAAAGTGGAAGAAAAAGTCAAGCCTTTAAAAAAAAAATTATTTCAGGCTGAACATTTTATTTTTCCTAACAGGAAGATTATTTGCCACAGTGATAGACTTGCCTCAGCCAAAACATCACACAGTGACCTTTATTTCCAATAAGTCTTCAAATATTGTTCCTTTTATTTGCCATGTTTTTCTAGCAACCCTTATCAGGGGAAAACGTGTATTCTGCAGTTAAATAAACAACAGAGGCTGCCAAACAGAGTCATCCTCCAGTACAAACAAAACAGTAAGTCTGGAGTCCGCCCACCCCCAACTCTTTATCTTCCTAATTATTCCTGTTACAGTTATTCCTTTGCCATTTCAGCTGTTAATGGTAGCCTTTGATCTGTATCTTGATCTTTCAAAGAAAGTTAAATAATGCTAACAAAACCTACATATCACTGGGCAAAATCTTATATAACACATCACATAACTGATAGTTTTAAACGCCCACTGTGAATTTTCTGTGGCTCACAATGTTACACTCCTCCTTTCTGATCCCCGTAAATGTAGCAATTAACCATACATTAAATATATCGCTTTTTCTAATTGCTACTACACAGTGGATATCCTCGATTGTGGCTCACGCCCTTTCACCACAGAGTCAGAGAGCCTAACAATCCACCCCGGTTGAGATCATAACCTCAGCTTTGCGATTCATTTCTGTGCCGCCCACGCGGACTAGACAGTAGTAGAGACAAAATGAGATTTGAGGACTATTTTATCGACGCAGACAGCGGAACGCACTCAGCCAGGCGGAGATGCGATGAATTGCACCAGAGTTGCATCAGCTGGGGGCGTATCGTACTTGATGAACTTTCTGAGCTTGGTTGCCTCTGATTGGCTGAAAGGTGGGAGAGTGGAAGCCCAAGACTGGTGTCAAGAAACGTCAATCTGAACAGCGAGCGGTCGTTCAATCTTTCCACCGGTAAATTCCAAGAACTCTTCCCCCCCCCTTAATTTGCCCTAATAGTCATTGCGCCCAATACAGGGCAATTCTTCCAGATCAAACAAACTTACTATTTGTTGTCCTCAGTGCTAATCAGGATAATATTGACAAAAACTAAGGTTTCCACAAGTGCTTTCAAGGAAGGAAATGGTTTACAACCTGTCCTATACTGAAATGAGGCTGGATCTGCAGATTTGTGCCATCTCCATATAGTCAACTGACATTTAAAATGCCTCTAGAGATTCTTGAAAGAATCTTTGGGAAGCTGCATCAGAATCTAGGTTTTTGAATATTAAATCTGTGTGAAAGTAAATTACAGATTAAAAGATTCCTGATTTGGTTTGTTTGGGGCGAGGAGAGAAGACAAGTGTGGGTGAATGCTGAAATCTTGATGGCAAAATCGCATCAATGCAAGTGGGGAAAGTCCTAGCACAGAATTCTTAAATACACCAGATTGATTACATGTTAAGCATGTTTCTCATTCATAGCTTTTCTACCTTTGCCTATTATTTATTTCCCTCTAGCTTTATCTTAATTTTGCTAAAGACTTGGAAAAGGACTTCAGGCCAACCTGGAAACAGAGAAGAGACAGAGAAAGTTGCTGTCAAAGAGCTGAAAATAATTTTTGAAGCACTCAATAATAACACACAATTTCTTTTCCTAAGCAAATATTAGTAATTTTGATCTACAGCTTCTGAAAAACTGAAACATCTTTATTCTTTTTTCTTACTTCAAACAAACTTTATTAATTTTAATTGCTTTAATATATTCCTGCCCATCATACAGTCGTTTTTTCCTACCATTTCAAAATATAGACTTGTGCTGACTTGAGTTACTCCTTTTTTAATATAAAGCTTGCATTTGTCTATATAATTGCATTTACTATTGTGTATATAAAGGATTGTATACATAATGAGTGCATACATTTCAGAAATTTCTATATTGCAGTAATTGATAATTTATCTACTTCTGCAAGAAGACCTAGATTAAGAGGGTTGGAAGCTGAAGAGACAAATGCAGCTTCCAAAACATGGATGCAATTCCCGTGCTGTCCAAAATACTGTGTAAGTTTTATTAATGCAACAAAAATAATTCTTAAATGTATTAGGAGATATTATCTTAATGGATGGAATTTCATCTTTTAGTTAAATTTAACTAAATTTACTTTTTACGCTAATCCCACTAATTGTTTGCAGTGCATTGCCAGTATACTAGTCAAAGACTAAAAATAACCTTGTCCTTAATTATCCTCTAAAAGGAAAATGCATCTTGAAATTAGTAAGTTAATTTTGCTAGATCGTAATTTGATTTAAACAACTTCAAGAATTCTAAAAAGTTTTGTGAAAGTACTAAAATCACTAAAATCACAATCTGGATATCTTCATCTCCCTCTACATTACTGGAATTTTCAGACTATGTTTTTATCAGTGACAATCAGGGTCTTGGAATGATAATTCTGGCAGCACTCTTAATGCAACAAACAAACTCTTAATACAACTCCCAAATCCATTGATTTGTAGAATCATATATAATATTTATAGATTCAAATTCAAAGGAGTATAAAAATCCTCATAATGGCCTTATTTCCAATGGTTCTAAACTGTTTGCTTCACCTTCGGTATCAAAGACTGGGCTACAGGTCAACCCTTATTGCCTTTTGTTCTGTTGTACCAAAGAGATGATCCTTGCCCTGCTCCACGTCTATTCCTAGGAGTCAATAGCCCTGGCAGGGCAGAGGTTGCTGCATGTCACCAACATGGCAGGTACAAAGCCTCTGACGCTCAGGTTGTGATTCCTTTCTGTTACCCTGCCAGATATGAAGAAAGCACGTGGGGATTGCAAACTCTTGCCTAGTTGACCAGACTAGAAGAGGTAGGGCCTGTGAACTTTCCTTTTCCATGAATTTTGTTAATGAGGTTTTAGCATTATCTTCACTGCATGCAAGAGCAACAAAAAAAAATATGTCTGAAGAATCTCCAATCTAAAATTTGGAAGATAAGTGATTCATTGGCTTGGGGAGTAGGCAGAGAAGGAAACTAAAGTGAACAGAGCAACCATCTAGTTCTTCTGTTTTTAGAAGAAAAAAAATTAAGATATGCATTCCTTATTTAAATGTACAATAAATTGGAAAAACAAGAACTTAGATTGTTTCCAGAGTGATGAAAACTGAGGAAGTATGCCAAAGGCTTCTAGAAAACAAGGTTTACTGGGTGACTTTATCTCTTAACCTGACAAGATTGTTTTGGAAAGAACTGAAGGGCTGGTCTATATGGTAGCTGTTGGAAAGGTAGGATATAAATCAAACATATCATGATATCCAGAGAAATCTTCTCTCTTCTGAAATCTTCTCTCTTCTTCAATGAAGAGATTCAATAAATTCATGCAGAACAGGTTAATCAAGGGCTACTATTGTTGAAGAATCAATGTCTTGAAGAATAAGTTCAAACACCAATTGCAGAGAAAGACAGGGACAATGATGTGTCTCTTATCTCCTGTTTTGATGTGTCTCAGAGGCATCTAGTTGGCCACTGTGAAATATAACAAGTTGGAATAAAATGAGGTTTAACCTGGTTTGATGCGGTTCATATTGGAATTAGTTAAAAACTAATCAAGGAGAGAAGCAGCCTAGAACTAAGAAGAAACTTTCTGACAATTAGAACAATTAACCAGTGGAACAACTTGCCTCCAGAAGTTGTGAGTGCTCCAACACTGGAGGTTTTTAAGAAGAGATTGGTCAACCAATCAGCAGGTTATGAGCTGTTGATTGCAGAGAAGGAAATGGTTGTCTCTGTCCTGTATCATCCATCACTTAAGCAATTTTTTATCTTTGCCTGAAGTTTGGATTAAGTGATCCGACATTGCCTTTCCAATTATTTCTTACTGTATATCAGTATTCTCAACCATGACAATTTTAAAGATGTATGGACTTCAACTCCCAGATTTCCCCAGCCAGCCTGGCTAACTGGGGAATTCTGGAAACTGAAGTCCATGTACATCTTAAAAATTGCCAAGGTTGAGAAACATTGGCTTATGTTAATTAAGATGTATCTGGTACTGTATAGGTAGTCCTAGATTTACAATCATTCATTTAGTGACCATTTGAAATTACAACAGCACTTTAAAAAAAGGACTTGTGACCGTTTTTCACATTTATGACTATTATAGCTTCTCTGTGGTCATGTGACCAAAATTCAGACCCTTGACAGCTAGCATGTATTTATGAATGTTGCTGTGTCCTGGAGTCATGTGATCACCTTTTGCGACCTTCTGACAAACAAAGTCAATGGGGAAACCAGATTGACTTAACAACTTTGCTACTAACTTAACAATTGCAGTGATTCACTTAATTGTGGCAAGAAAGATTGCAAAATGGGGCAAAACTCACTTAACAACTGTTTTGGCTAGGAACAAAAATTTTGGGTTCAATTTTTGTTCTACATCGAGGACTACCTCTACATTAAATCAAATCAGAATATACCTCAATGGATCACTTATGTTGATCGGTTCTTACCCTCCAACCTAGAGATAAAAGTTTGAAGGCTGATCCCTCTCCATCTTATTGAAACCATAATAACCTCTCTTTCCTTTTATTCCATAGGATGCTTTTGTTGTATTGCTACAATCTGCCCTCTGGAATTGCATACTCCTCAAATTTGTGTGGCTCCCTCCCCATGCTTTTCTGGTAGTCTGTAACCTGGCTGGTTGCACTCTGCATGTGTATTTTGTTTAGTTTTTTTGTCTAGACATTCATAGTTTCTTCTATCTGCCATTGTTTCAATCGTTTTGTTTATTTCTTTGTAATGGAAGCTATCCAGGGTCATTCTGAACCCAAGTGGTGTTAAATCTAACATAATAAATTCATAAAATAAAACCAAATGTATTTCTTGCAAATTCATAAAACCTTAACACGCATTTTCAATTAGGAAAGTTTTATTAAATCTGAGATGCTAAACTGGGACAGATAAAGGATGAAGTAGACAAGATTTTTTTGTTAAATCTATATTCACTCCTGAAATGTGCCCCTTGACCTAAGAAGAGATTAATAGTGTTGCTCTTTTATATTTGGACTGACTCTTTTCCAATTTGAAAGGTGCCACTTGGCTGAAGCAAAAGAACTGTTCTCTTTTCTCATTTCTCGCTGCTGAGCAGAGGTCTCCTTAGAGGATTGTTTAAGTAAGCTTTTGCTTATCTCAAGCATAAAATCTCTATGGTTACTAGGACACGCCTCTCTCAGTCACACACACTCTCTCTCTGGGGTATTATCATAAAAACCCCTTTAAGAATAGCAAGAGGTAAAGTGTTCCATCTACCCTTTGCTTAAGGCACAGGCATTGCCATGACGATGGACCATTTAAATCCTGGGGGATATCAAGCAACACCAGCCTCCCCATTGAGACTTTGGAGGAAAACATATTTGGGCTATGTTAAAATGAAGTAGCTAACCTCACATTGCCACTTAATCATTTAATGCAGCCAGAGTGGTTGGTCCCTATCATATGGTGCTCATTTTCAGATCAATCTGTTCCTGTTCTTACTTTTGAAAAAGCCTTATGGATGCTTTTTTCCAAAATGATGCTCCTTAACAGACAGGCATTTTATTAGCATTTTCTCTTCTGCTGTGTAGCAAACAGGTACTGTGAATGTATGCAAGTAATGATGCCTCTGTAAAAGAATAGAAAAATATGGAGGGTGCATGTATTAAATTTTATGGAGATGAGGAAAAAACACAGTTGTGTGACACAATTTTTCTGCTTTATTTTTTCCCACATGATTTATTTGACACATTTGAAAATACATTTTTGATAGCGGTCACTCATCATACTAATCTTGAATGGAATTTGTTTGGTTTTTGCTTAGCATGCTAAGTGAATAAACCAACTGTTCTACATTGAATAAAACAGTAAATAATATATTGTCTAGGACAAGTGTAAACCCAGCTATTTCCCTGTAGGCTGAAGATGCATAGGCTGTAACTGGCTGCTGTCAGTCCCTGGAGACTTCAGTAGTTCATTCTTTGTGTACAAAATGGCAAACCATACCAGTGTGCATTACTTGCTTGCTTTTCTTATTTAAGTTCATAACTTTGAACACATGCACCTTTCAGATTACCATCCACTGGAGAAAAAAAAGGCTTGAAGCACCAAACCTAGGCATGAATACTGGTCACCATATTCCATCAAACTCAAAATCAGAGCTGTGACAAAAAGGTGATTTTGAGGAACAGCTAAACCTGTACCCTCTCTTTGCCTATTCAAGCCTGATTTGCTGATCAGTAGCTTCTTGCAGGGAAAAAGGGAAAGCACAAACTTTAGCACTTTTTCAATATTTGTTCCTCCTTTCTCTGAGCAAGCACTCTTTCGTAAGCTCCATACCTATACAAATCTGCTTTACTGCTACTCAGGTGTCTTGTTAGATATGAGTAGTTAAACAGCAGCCCAGCAAGTTCTGAATGGTGTCATTTTTTAAAAAGTCAGGTTACTATAGTTTTTTGATGGAAACCCCACCCCACTCCTCTGCTGAGAACATGCCATTAAAGCAAGAAGGTGTAGCTATTTCAAATCTAGCATCTCACTCTGAACAGCAGATCTTTAGGCTCCTGGGTATAATAGCCCAATTAGAAATAACTAGGCACTCCCACTCCCCAAAACAAATTGATTTGGAGGAACAAGCCCAGGGACCAGAGAAAAAGCAGCGTAATAATACAGGTATGAGCTTAAAGTGTTTAGTAAGTGCTAAACCAAGTCTCTATGAATCATCATACTTTAGCCCCAACAGCATGAGCAGCAAAATATATAATATTTAGCTCATCTTTAAATTATCATTGGATTTTGTCATCTTGGGGAATTAGAATCTAATAGCATACCAGGATAATGTAGGGTAAAATGAGATGTTAAAATACTCCCAGGGAAAGTTTGTCCTCTGCTTAGGTGCATGTGGGAAAAGCCTTGTATATCATACTGTGAGAGTGACATGTGACAAAGATCTTTCTCTTCCAGTCATCTCCTGCAGTTCCCCAAATCAATGCAATTTTGTAATGAGAGATGCTGTCCCATAGGTATCTGTCTCAATGCTGTTTAAAGATTAATATCAATGCCATCAATTAAGCAATAAGCAAGCACTGAGACTCTTTCAATACAAATATCATATGATCCCAGTACCTTGCATCAGTTATTATCATTCTATTGCAATTGCAGTTTCCAGCCCATTGAAAGATACCCCATCAAGGTGTGGTTAATTCTTACTAAATCCTATCCATTCGGGAACAGTTCACATTGACATGTGTAATTTTGCTTCTTGCTACATCTGTCAGCTGTGAATCTGGCAACAATTGAGGATCAAGACACAATCCCAGACCAAGAATATATTTCCTGAACTTCACGCTCATAGTGTGGATTCCTATTTACTATTGTACTTCTTTCTTATCTGGATCTAATATCAGCTTGTGTTTCTCATCCAGCCCATTACCAAGCTTAGCATAAGTTTAGAAATACCAACAGCTTATTTTTCGAATTGGATAGTGAGGAGCAGTAGAATTGACTATCATCAGTATGCTGGTAACACATCACTTGAGAATGCTGGATGATCTCCTTCAGTGCTTTTGTGCTGAACAATATTGGAAGCCAGATGGAACTCTGTGGAACTTCACAAATCAGTACCCTAGGTATGGAATGGTGTTGAATGACAATCACTCAGAATCACCCTCTGAATACAGCAGAATGGAAGGAGCCAGAAACATTGTAAAATGATGTTTCCAAGGCTGAATCCTACCTATGATCCCGAAAACCACCAAAATATCTAGAAAAACTCCTAGGGCAACAGTTCTCCCATTTGGCTGCCAGCATAGTTCATCCATCAAAGCAACCAGAGTAATTTTGGTATCATATTCTGATTGAATCCTAACTGAAATGGTTCCAGATTGTTCGTATCATCTGTTTGCATCTGCTATTCTAGGATTATCATACTCTTGGTCCACTTTCTCAAAAATGTAATATTTGAGATCAGCCTACAATTACATAGATTTCTTGAGTCAAGAAAAACAAGGAAAACATCCATGGTAAGAATTCAGCAAAGCATACATATAACCTTTGTGTTAAAAAATACAATAACTATCCAGATTATCAATGAAATACAATCAAACCATTACTTATACTTCAACAGTACATACATTCAACCTACAGAGTGCCATTTCATCCAAACACATTCTGGGGAAGAGCTCAAACTTTGTTGACAGTAATGAAATATACAATAGAATTTATATGCTGTGTTAATTACTGTAGATGATATCTATACAACTTCCAACTGCTAACTTTTTAAGATCGCTCCATGCGTGTGTGTGTGTGTGTGTGTGACAATTCTTGCATATTATGGATGGGGCAGCAGCTGAAGCTATAGCCTAATTGAATTTATAAATCACAACATAACAGAATAACAAAGCAGAATAATAGAATTGGAAAGGACCTTGGAGGTCCAATGCCCTGCTCAAACAGGAGACCTTATACTATTCCAGACAAGTGACTATTCAGACTCTTCTTAAAGCCTGCTGTGATGAAGCACCCATAACTTCTGAAGGCCATTTGTTCCACTGGTTAATTGTTCTCATTGTTAGGAAACTTCTCCTTAGTTCTAGGTTGCTTCTCTCTTCAATTAGTTTCCATTCATTGTTTCTTGTCTTGCCTTCTGATACTTTGGAAAATATACTGAGACTTTATTACATGTACAGGAACAAACTACAAAAAAGATGTTGAGACCTTGGAAAAAGTTCAGAGAAGAGCTACTACGATGATCAAACACCTGGAGACTAAAACATATAAAGAATGGCTGCAGGACTTGGGTTTGGCTAGTCTAAAGAAAAAAAGAAATAGGGATGACATGATAGCAATATTCCAGTATTTGAGAGGCTGCCACAAACAAGAGGGGGTAAAATTATTCTCCAAAGCACCAGAGGGCAGGAGAAGAAACAATGGTTGAAAACTGATCCAGAAGCAACCTGAAATTAAAGAGAAACTTCCTAACAGTGAGGACAATTAACCAGTGGAATAGCTTACCTTCAGAAATTGTGGGCGCTCCATCACTGGAGGTTTTTAAGAAGAGACTGGACAGTCACTTTTCTGAGATGGTATAGGATCTCCTACTTGAGCAGGGGGCTGGACTAGAAGACCTCCAAGGTTCTATTCTATTCTATTCTATTCTATTCTATTCTATTCTATTCTATTCCAGATGTTACTTGTTTCCTATTTGTTAGTAATCTTTGGGAAAAAGTATGTGTGTGTGTGTGTGTTATTGAATAGCATAAAGAAATTAGGTGGGATGCACTTGTACCTTTACCACTTCCTTCCTAAATAATGTTCTGAACAATTCCTAAGATATTATACACTGGTTTGTTATATGAACTTGTTAAATAACAAAGTCAGTAATTACTATTCCTTAAAACAGGCACGTCAAACTGCCAGCCCATGGGCCAGATCCATCATGCTGAAACCACGCCCACCCCTTTGTCAGCAATGGGGAAAAAGTCCTGATATGTCGCGTGATGTCACATGATGTTGTGAGTTTGACATGCCTGCCTTAAAAGATATTTATACAGTATAATATTTAAAACATAAATGATCTTCAAATGTCTTCCTTTCTTTAGCCAGATTCCTTCTAGATGTGATGGGTTTTAGCTTTCATAACTACATTCTAGGGGAAATGACCAATCCAGATTTGATCTTGCAGCATTTTCCCAGGACACCTATATTTGCCTTTATTCGTAAGATGTAATCCATTCTGCTTAGAGACTGCATCACTGAGGAAAGACTTTTCTACGGAGTTGACTCTGCCTATCCTAATGGACATGATTTTCATCATGTTTGGTTTGGAC